TATAGGTTTAATAGAGAACCATTATTAACAATGAAACAAATAACCAATTTTTTCATTTTTCCAATTATGTCAAATTCGATAAAAAAGAAATTCATTTTTTTTGTCAAGTTCACAGTGTAATGTGTGCAGATTCACAATATGAATCTAAATTCACACAGTGAATACGAAAAATATATTTAGCATTCGTACTGTGAAATTATGCATTTAGATATTTTTAGTTTTTTCTTTTCAAACAAAAATAAATTCTATAAGAATACAAGCTTCATAGTGAGTCATTCTTGAAAAAATCTTCATTCTATAAGAATACAATATCATTCATGAAAGAATCATCATTTTCATTCTTGAAGAAATCTTCATTCAAATCACCTGGAACACCATACACAAATTTACGAATGGTCAAATCAGTTGGAAATAGATATCTGAAATAAAAACATGAACTTATTACCATTTTGTGGGTCCCATCACATTCATATCTTTTTTATATAAATGACACCATAAAAAGAAAATGTAAAAACTGTAGTGATCTAATCAAATCGATGAAAGTAGTTTGTTATTTCTATCATATAATCCTATATAAACTAAGATAGATACAACAAATGGGAAACATTAACATTCACATACTTCTTTTTGTCTATGTTAGGAATATCGGATTTTTCAGCTTTATCAACAATCACCTGAAACCAAAATTTTACTCTAAGAGTTAAGAGACAAATAAAATAGCATAAAGTTTGATTGATAAAGAAACACAATGTCTCACTGGAACTCTATCAGGATACTTCTCTCTAATGCGAGAGGATTCTGATATCCTCTTCTCTACATAAAGAAAAAAGAGCATGTAATGTTGTTAGAATGTATTGATTTCATTCTGAATATGTATATACGCTTCAATTGAAACACAAAATAAAAATGTCTCATCTCAAGAACATGACAATTATTCCAGAATTCATTTGGTAATGATCTGATAAATTGATTTGATGACAGATTAATCCCTTTTAACTTCACAAAGTTACCAAGAAAATCAGGGACATACCTTCGGTTTAGTTTCCAGCAAGATTTAAGAAGCTTAATGCTTCACATTCTGAGAGAGAATTAGGGATTTCTACAAATAATTTTTTGAACCCTAGATTAAAAACTTGAAAATTCTTCAAGTTATTGAAATTGATTGTAGAGAAATTTGCAGTAATCGAATTCCCTTCGATGTCAACCACTTCAAGTTTCGTTAACCCCCATACCCCATTAGGTAATTCACCCCTAAATTCATTAAATGGAAACGATAGAACCCTAAGCTCTGAAAGTTTCCCAATTACATTCACAATTTTCCCGCCTAAAAATCTCCCTTTCTTTAGCGAAGAACAATCCCTAACAATCCCAGAACCATGCAATGCAAGATCATAATATTTGCTACTCAAACAAGAACCATAATGAAACAAATTACCTCTTGTGTTGTTGATGAATAGGTGAAGGGGTAGAAAGGGTCGACGACTAAAGAGTCGACGACGAACACTGTAGTGAGGATCGACGATGGACTCAAGGGCTTACGGAGACCGGAGACGGCGTGAAGGTGAAGCGATGATGAAGATGGACTTCGTGGAGAAACTTGGTACAACTCGCCGGAAAGCAAACCTAGCAACCACTGTTGCTCACCGGTTCTTCCTTGGTGTTACGAACACGACGATAAAGATGATAATGGCGGTGATTGTATACCCTAATTCTAATGGTTGAAGGCGATGATGAATCTAGGTCGTCTGATGGGGCCGAAGGTCGATGCAAGCAGGAGGATACGATTTTGTGGGCGTCGATTGATGAGGCAATAGGGTTTTAAATAATGTAATTTGCCTAAATTAAAGGGTATATGATTTAATTAATTATTATTAAAATTAAATAATACTTGGCCCATATAAATCGCTACATCCACACAATATTTGTTCATCCACATTTGAACCTATCTCTATATATATATAGATATATATATATATATATATATATATATATAATATATATAGATATATATATATATATATATTATATATATATATATATAGATAGAGAGAGAGATAGAGAGAGCGAGAGAGAGAGAGAGAGAGAGAGAGAGAGAGAGAGAGAGAGAGAGAGAGAGAGAGAGAGAGAGAGAGAGGGAGAGAGAGAGAGAGAGAGAGAGAGGGGTAAGTATTTAGGGAATCAAAAGATTTGTTAGAATTCGAGAATTTTCAAATCCGCTTGTCATTTACGAAACCAAGACTATTTGAACTCCATTTAAAAGAGATCCATGTTCCAAATAAAGACTTCAACTTTTTTTGGAAATGTGCCTATACGCACATCTAAACGTGTATGCATGAACATTTATGTTTTAAGTGTTTTTTTTTTCTATGTTTTTAAATTGTGATTTTTTTAAACGCTAGGATTAGAATCTAATTGTTATGTAGCAAGAGATACAAGTGAGAAAAAAATATAAAGTTAATATAACTTTGATGTGGTAAGTGAGATGAGATACGAGGATGGATGGACTCCCACAATATAATAGATTAACTTTTTACTAATAAACTATGCTAAAATATTTCCTACCATAATCTCAACTTTTGTATTTGAGGATAACTCGGCAAAACATGTCATGGCTATCAATGGTAATTGCTGACTCGTCATAATCTGACATGAGAACTTCACATGCTTAAGCTTTGGTCCGGTCACTTTAATGCATCCTTTATGGATTCAACGAATTCCGATATCAGTCCATTCAAATTACCTTTCTACATATTTTTCCCCTATAATAAATCATTCAAAACATTTTTATAAACTAGTTTAGGGTATATGCTGGATAATCGTTTAATTAGAAGTTAAAAGCGGTGTTCTCAAACGAAACTATTGCAAACTAAACTTTTTTTTCATCTGAGTTTTCTTTTAAAGAAGATAAAGGTAAAAACTCTATAAAACTTGTTGACCAACACTACTTCATTGAAAAAGATTAAATTTGTAGAAATGTTAATGGGGGATAATTGATGAACTTTATATTATGAGAGTTGAAAGTGGTAGAATTCAAAGAAACGAACAAAATGGTACTTCGAAGTTGAAAGAAGTCATTCGAAATTTTGTTGGCCTATCGTTATAAAAACAATACAGAAAAGAAAATTTTGGTACAAGTGAGTGTACTTTCAATAATCCAAGATATCTTGATTCACGTAATTTGATAGGTCTCGATTTAACGACACTTTTTCTTTAAACCACTAGTTTTCAGATAAGCTTCAATTTAAAAACATAAGTAGCCAAAATAGATAAGTAGCTAAACTTTAAGGCCGGAGGGAGTGATGATATAAAAGTTGCAGTCCCTTTAATACCAGGTAGGCGCTACCTCACTCTTTACCACAAAAGTGTGGTTTCATACCACACCCAATGAATGATGTCACACTACTTTAATTATTTTTATTTTTAAATAAATAAAATTTTTAGTTTTAATTAAAACCAAAAGATTTCATTAATTAAAAATAAAAACCATTACATAACTTAAAAAAAAATGACATTAAAAAAAATCCTAGGAAATTAAAAAATAAAAATCTAGAAAGCTTAAATCTACAACTTAAAAAAAACACACACACACACACATCAAATAATTAAAAACTTGGAAAACAACTACAAATTAAGCACGATTACCGTAACGTTTTTTCACGTCTTCCTTCATTTGCAAAACAACTTGAAGCACATCTCCGGTCAAATTCGACGTGTCTATCGATGTCACTCTCAGGTCGTTGCCCCTTTGTTTCCGACTCTCTTTATCCGAAGCAAGTTGCAAAAATTTATCCATTCTATCTTTCATGTCTTGCACATTCTCGTCCATTTCTTTCAAGTCATCCGATTCTGACGCTTTGTCATTGCCTTTGTTTTTTTGTTTTGTCCTTTCCCATTGGTCGGGGGTGGTGACACTTGAATGGGCTCATCCTTGTTGAGGTCGAAACCAACACGAGCATCCGATAAAGTGTGTTGGGATTCGGAAATTCTTGACCATTTTGATCCACAATCGATGTCCTCGTCGCTTGTTTTTAGATTTTGCCATTTTTTGTTGCCTTTGAGTAGATTCCAAACATCAAAAAACTTGAAAGTCTTCTTTTGCTCTTTTTGATAAATGTTCAAAGCTTTTTCCAAAATCACTTCGTCACTTTCGCCGCTTTTCCATTGTCGTTACATGTTGTTATATAAATCGTTAAACAACATGATGTCTTTGATCATCTCTCCCCATTTTGAGTACACTTGATGTTTAGTACGATATGGTTCTAGGTTCATTCCTTTGTGGAATCTAGCTCTAACGCGCATCCAAAAACGATCATGTTTTTGGTTCCCTCCCGTCTTCGTGTCCTCTGAAACATCAATCCATGATTGTGCTAATACTAACACTTCTTGAGGTTCCCACAGTTTAGATTCTGCCTTCTCTTTTCTTTTATTTCCTGGTTGAGAGGGTTGTGTTTGTGGAACAAATTTTGGTTCGGATTCGGAAATGGATATTTGTGGTTGTGATTGTGTTTGTGGGGCAAACTCCGGTTGAGAATCAAAATCCAAATGATCAAAATCTGGGTCAAATTGTGGTTGTGTTTGTGGAAATGGTTGCATAGGGCGTTGTGGTTGTTGAATATGTTGCCGAAAATAGGGAAGCATACCCCCGTAGTGGTAGAAAGGAGGTGAATAAACTGGTTGATCGAGTGAAGGTCTTAGAGTTGTGGTTTTTCTAGTGGTATTTTTTGGTTGGTGAGATTTTTGGAAGATTACATTTTTGTGGGTTTTAAATAAAGAAGATGGTAAAAGAATAAAGTGTTTGTGAATGATTTGGGTTAATATGACTAGGTATTTATAGTGGTAGTAATTTTTTTTTGAATTCTTAACGTTTGCAAACGGTAACCCAAGTGACCAATCAAAACAAAGGAAGAAACTCTCCCTTGGAAGGCCATAGTGCGGCCTCATCCACACATGGACCGCACCGAGGGGCGGTGTTTGTGCTGTAAAATAAAATAAGATAATAATAGTAAAAAAAACGAACCTACCATTCTCTAATCACCATGATTTTTTTGGAGTGTAAGTCGGTCTCAAGATGGTCTTGTTGATTTTGAAGCTCATGTATAAAGTTTAAAATAAACCCTTAAATTTTCAAATTAGTAGCAGATAGGTATAGATTAGCAACATATTAGTGACAGATTAGAAACGAATTAGAACCATGATGGATTAAATTTCGGACCATTGACGACACAGGCCCTATGCGACCACATATTGTGCAAGTGCTCAGGGTCAGCCTTGTGTGTGTTAGCGTATCTCACATAGGTGTGACACAGTCTTATAAGTGACTATATATGTTGGAGTCTCCTCTCTCTCCATAATGACTATTTTTGATAGACAACTTTCGTAACATTCCAAAAATCACGACCAAAATTTTCATTTTTACATTAAGTAAAAACATTGTTTCAAGGAAAAAACCAAGTCAAAAAACCATAAATATCAAAATACAGTCATCCCAAAAATCAAAGTATCAAAAAATATGGAATCATGTAAACTGTCAACGAGAGTGTACAGTCAAGCCTTTGCCTTCCCACGATTATTTGAAGTACCCGAAACACCTTTAAATCAACAATTGTAAGCACGAAGCTTAGTGAGTTCCTCAAAATATCACATACAACACAACTTAATAAAGAGTTATGGGTTATCATCAACCATGGGACTGTCAGCAATCCAAAGGACTATCAGTAGTCCTATGGGCTCTCAGCACTCCTATAGGTTATCAGCAACCTTGTGGACTATTAACAGTCCAAACGTTATTAGCAACTCAATAAAATACGCATAACATCAATCAACATATAAGACTTAGCTAGTCTAGCATGCACCCTACTATGAGATAGGCAATATAGTGAGACGATACACCTCGCAAATAGATAACACAACAACTCTCTGGTATAGGAGATCAGTACTATGAGACACCTAAACAAAAAATATGAGTAATCTCTTAGTCTACGCCCTAAAACCCTTATGTTAACCAAAGCCAACAATGGTAAAAAAAAGTCAACGGTCAAAGTCAACGCTAGTTAACCCCCACGCTGTACACACCCAATGGTTACGATGTGGCACCGTTGAGACAAAGCATTCGCAAGGATTGTCTATCGCCACGTCATGGTAATGTATCTGCCACGTCGTATGCGCTGCACATATCAACTTAGTTAAGCTCTTAATCCTTTAAGCCACTCATTAGTACTCTCGAAAGGCTTTCTTACTACTAATACTCCATAAAAATCGTTGCTTTAAAGACATGCATGTTGAATGCATGTCTTGAGCTCAAATTAAGTCAAAATTGTGAAAATGATATTAAGATCTCATGCATGCTACTTCTAAGTCAATAATTCTCCAGATCAAGGACAAGAGGCCACAAAGGAACACTCAAACTACCTCAAATATGGAGGAAAGTGGACAAAAACATATATATAGCATGCTTGGACACAAAAGGTAGAAACTTGAGGACTTACAAGGGTCCAAAAGCTACACAAGATGTTAAAGGGGAGGTTTGTTTGCTAGAACAATGCACCGAACACCTTCTTCTTCTTGTAACGTCCCGAAAATCACATGGAAATATTTTCATTTTTAAAACGTTAATACATACAACAATTTGTTCCCAAAAACATTCAAGGTGAAGAATAATATTTAAACATCAGAGTAAAAGTCTTAAACAACTACTGCGGAATAAAACTTTGGGGGATGTTGTGCATTCACGTCGGCCCTTTCCCATTTTAACTCAAAGTACCTGAAACCATAACCATAAAACTGTAAGCAAAAAGCTTAGTGAGTTCCCCAAAATACCACATACCATACATAACATTGGGCCTAGCCCGCACATTAGGCCCAACATATAGCAATGGGCCTAGCCCTTCCTAATCAATAGGCCCAACCCAACATACAATTGGGCCTAGCCCTATCATACAATATGCCTAGCCCAACATATAATGGGTCACACCCTCTCATGCAATGGGCCTAGCCCTACATGCATGCCCATGGGCTGAGCCCAACATACAATGCAAGAGTCACAAAGATAGCTAGCATCCTACATAACATATTCTTGTGGGTTGGCATTAGTTCCTTCGACCCACGGGTAAAGTGAGGAGATTCACCTCAATCCGAAGATACTTGAATCACAAACACACTGCATTTATCACAGCTTCTCACACTCAACCTATCTAAGATCAATCCTAATAAATAATTAGGGTAATAACCCCTAATCAAAGGTCCAATCATATTCTATCATGCTAAGGGGTAAAAGACTATTTTACCCTTCCTATTATTGGCCCAAAAAATCATGGCCCAAACCTAAAATGACCCAAAGCCCAAAATGGCTTCTGGTGAGTACACCCCGCGTACCACCATTGTATGCCCATCATACTAGAAGCTCGAAGAAGAGGTAACAGGCTGAAAACTATTTCGCTCAGTGTACCAGGAAGGTACACCCAATGTACGTCAATTTTGCCCAAACTCCAGTCTAAGTTCTTAATACCTTAAGACTTAAAATCCAAATCCCAAATCTGATCTCTAAGGGACGTCTAAAGTCATCTAGTTCCTGACTATATGTTTTTGCATGGCTTAATGTTGTCCAAACCAAAGCCTAAACTTCATAACTTTACTAAAGGACCACTAACTCATGCATGGAAGAGATATACCCAACAACATTCGATTTTTATAACTCAATGACCTCAAAAATGACTAGAAATAAGCCTCAAAGGTTGTGGAGTAACTTCTACCCTAAAGACTCATAAAGACTCATAAAGTTTGAAGCTTTATACCTCCAAAAGCTTGCAAAGATGATAAAAGTCTTGGATCTCCAATCTCCTACCACAACAATCTACAAGGATAATCTTCTTCTTCTTCCACAAAGCACCAAGAACACTTTGAAGGTCCAAAAATCAAGCTCACCAAGATAAGGGTTTCGAAATTAAGGTTGGAGTAGATGGAGGCTGGAAATAAGGTCAGCCTCAAGGGAGCGAATGATGTTATATAGGATCCAACCCTTAAAATTTAGGTTTAAGATTCACGTGAGTACGCCGTGCGTACCATATGTATGCCCGACGTACTCAAAGGATGATCGTGCTTCTTTCATGCAGTACGCCCAATGTACATGCTGTGTACGCCCAATGTACAGGCCAACACCCCATTCCTTCCTTACTTCCAATGGTCATAACTTTTGCCGAAATGGCGTTTTACTCCATTTCGACGTTCTTTATATGCTAGGAAAGGTAATGAAAAGCCATATAATTCCGTCAAGTCTCCTTTGACTCAAAACCTTCTGAACTAGAATCCTTAATTCCAGAAAAGGTCTGAAGCATCACTTTTACTATTATACCCTTGGACTCGAAAGTGCAAACCGAAAGCCTGGATCACAAAACCTATATAATGCACTCCCAGTTGGGTCTAGTACCCAAAACCTCGAAGTCATGGGCCCTAAATTTATTCATTTAATGTCCATAATTCCCAAAATAGGAAGCTTCTCGAAACCGGATGTTACTACTCTCCCCCACTTAAACTGGATTTCGTCCTTGAGATCATTCCTTACTACTTTTCAGGCACCCAGAGAATCTGACCAATAATGGTTGAACCCCACTTCAGGCTAAACTTTGACACATACATACGGCGGCTCTCCAATGCTACAATCAAAACCCAAAGTTAACATGAATCACATACCCTGACGACGAACAAATCCTTAACCCATTTACTTAAACTGATGAAAAATAACAATTCTACCCACAACCCCCTAGCCGAAAGATTGATGCACTTAGAACATCTTCAACA